CCTGCGGTGGGTATTCAGCGACCGTTTCTTGCATGAATGAATATGGGTGCCTAAGTTGCTACTTGTCCTTAGCAGTGTACTTTCTGTCACCCTCGGCTGCCCTGAGCTGAGTAAGGACGGCCGGCCGCCCGGGCTCTGTCTCCACCTGCAGGGCCGGGTCACGAGCACTTCCGGGATGCCGCCCGCCCCGACCACGCCCCTCCCGACGGCCATTCCCCTGCCGGCAGGGAACGCTCCTCCTCCCTGCAGGGCATGGACATGGCATCCCTGCCGCCCCGAAAGCGCCCCTGGCACGATGGGCCCGGGGCCTCAGAGCACAGAGAGATGGAAGCCCCAGGGGGGCCTGCTGAAGATCGAGGAGGCAAAGGTGAGCGGCCGGTGCCAGCGGTGCCCTGCCTGGGAGGCTGCAGGGGCCAGGGGAGGCCCCTGCCCCATCTGTCCCTGCGAGGGTGCTGAGGGTACGAGCTCCTTCTGCAGTCCAGGGCTCGGGCTTTGCCACGGCCCCTGTTCCCCGATGTGGCACAGATGCGGTCTGGGCCCCTGCCACGGGCAGGCAGAGCTCCCCCCGCAGACCAGGCGCTCGGCCTCGTGCAGGTGTGTCTGCTTGGCTCCCAGGAATCTTGGTTCCTTCAGGTTCCAGGCCAGCTCTGTCCAGGTGCCACGGCGCTGCTGGGAAGATCATTGCTTGTGCCCAGGGTCACTGAGACAGGAATGTGGTATGGGAGGGGTTGTTTCCAGGGGGGCAGTACATTGTTTCTACACGTTGAAGCTTTGGACCTTTTTGGAAGCAGCACTGCCTTTTAGCCACGGTTAGTAGCCGCCACGTGCCCAGCCGGCCTGCTCTCGCCCGCCGGGCCGCTGCCCCTGTGCCGGATTCGGAGGCTGCGGACACTGTCCCTGCACCCCTGCTCGCGTCCCTGCCCGGTCTGCCGCCGCGTGTGTGCTCCCCACGGCAGGGCTCCGTCTGTTGCGCCTCAGAGCAGGACCCTCAGAGGTTACAGCACATCGCTGGTAGATCTCCCCACAAAACCCTCAGAGGTTACGTTGCATCGCCAGTAGGGCTCCCCACCCAAGGCCAGCTGGTGTGGGTCCCTGGTGCAGGCCGAACCACAAGGGAGGAGGGGTCGGTAGAAGGGGGCTAGCTAGCTTTCCTAACCTCTTCATCTTAACTGGATTCAAATTCCATGGAAGATTTTAGACAACATAAAGTTGGCAGTAGTCTCCTGAGAGTGTGCATTGTAGATGTGGCCAAATCCTGTCACCTCTTAGGGGAAAAAAAATTAAACGGAGAATTTTTATGATACCTGAAATTTTGTATGCCCAAATCTGGAACAAATAAAACTATCCCTGGGAGAAATAATTCTAAAAGCTAGTGCTTTTCTTTTTATGCTTTTATTTTTCAAGGAATGTTTCATTCCACTGACTATTTAAAAGGAAATCAGAAGTGCCCTGTGGCTGTGGGACAATCACAGTAAATCCTTCCGCTAGTTCCAGTACTTGTAAATGAGTTAGCATCACCAATAGTTTGCACTTCTTAGTTGCTTCCTAAGTCATTGCTAATGTCCTCAGAATTCTGTTTTAAAGAAAGACCCACAAGTGTTCCACTGTCACAGAGTAAAAGTGTGTGCCAGGAGTTGAGTCCCTGATACAAGAGAGTCACATGTGAAATCAATGTTTCATTTCAGGCCGAGGGGGCCCAGGACCCTCCCAGAGAGTGCCAAAGTCCGGGCGTTCCAGCTCCCTGGATGGAGATCACCATGACGGGTACCACAGAGATGAACCTTTTGGGGGCCCTCCAGGCAGTGGTACTCCTAGAGGGGGCCGGAGTGGTAGCACCTGGGGGAGAGGGAGCAACATGAACTCTGGCCCGCCGAGGCGAGGAGCCTCACGGGGTGGGGGGAGGGGGCGGTAGAAGTCGGGGCTGAGTACCCCTGGGCCTCTCTGGACAGTATTTAAGAACTTGAGGAGTTAAAAGAGAAACAAAAGGAAGCCCGCACCATGTAGCCCCGAACTCTCTTTCCGGGGCAGCTGCATCCCAGGAGCCCCTGAAGAGGTCTTCGCGATGGAGAGACTGCTGCTGGCTCCCCAGAGCAGCTGGCCTTGTTCTTTCCTGTCAACCCTCACTGCCCTAACTCCCACGTTGTTTTGTGAAGATAAAAGCTGGAATCTTTTTTTTTTAAGTGTCACGAGACATGGAGCACCTCCACAGACTAAGTTCATGTCTAACTGGGAATTTGTTTCTATATGTACAGTTTGAGAAAAAACATTAAGTTGTTTTTGTATGAATACAGAATGTGATTTACGCAAGAATTAACAAAAAACGTTTTGTGAAGTGCTTGCCTTAAGGAAACCCTTAGTTTGTTGCATCCAGTCTGCTGCGGGTATATAATTATTGCTTATATTTGTGGGAAGTATGCAAATACTGCATACTTGATGGGAAGCCTACATCTAAGTTAATTTCATCTGTGAACTTTGTTTTTAGACAGAATCTCCTGTCACACTTATTTTTATATTAGCATGAGAAGTACTTCATTAACTGAAGTAGACAGCGATTTTTAGTTAGACATGCTAAGCAGATGTAGAATTATATACACTGAAGAAAAAATCTGGCTGCCAAGTAGGGGCTCTCTCTCCCTTGGGTGCCTCTCCTAGCAGTCACCCCTGAGACCTGATGCCTTCTTTCTGATGAGGAACTTGATGTAGCCAGAAATCACACCACTATTTTGATTACTATAAATCAATTTACAGATTAAGTTGAAAAGGTATGGAAGAAAAGACCTTAAGTTTTGCAAAATTTAAATAATTTACTCCTCTTCCATATTATGTGGAAATACCAGTGTTTAAAGCAAAGAATAGTTCTAATTTAAGCCCAGGAACTCTCCCACAAATTGTTAGTTTTAAATAAATGTGACATTTGGCCCAGTTTGGAATGGAAGCCAAAAGGTCAGCTCTGTAGGCATCACCGTAATACTTCTATGCTGATCCTTTTTTTTCCTAAGAAAGCCTTGATTATTCAGAGGACAGTCCCCTGGCTGCCTGAACATCTTAGACTGCCAGCTTCCATTTGACATTGGAGACGAGTTTAGTTGGCAAATTTAGTATGCTGGAAGTCTCAGTACTTGCTTAGAAAAGAGATACTGACATAAGTTGTACAGTGTTAAAAAAAAGTTTAAATGGTACAGTATAAAAGAATTTCTGCAGTGAGAAAATGTCAACCACACATACTGCTTTGTAGGGTGTTAGAATCTAGAGACTAAAAGTAAATAATTTTTACTCTACTTTGAAATAAAAACAGCTTTTATCAGCACCTCACTGGAAACACTTACGAGGCTGAAGATTGCTTTAGTTTGTGAAGATCCTTTATTTGCCCATTATTTGTACAGCTTAAAAGCAAGTTGTAATAATCAAATTCTGAGAAGCTAAAAAGGGATCCCAAGACCAAACCCATATTGAGATTACACTTCTTTTTCTGAGGTTCAAAAGTTAAGGACTTTATCATAACATTTTAGGGTCATGTTTAAGAACACAGCTCCCCAGTAAGCAGATTACCAGATCACATTTGGGAAATTAATTCCTTTAGAGAAAACATTTCTACATTATATATTTATTAAATACTTAGGATATATATATATATGCATATATGCGTTTTAAAACATCACTGTCAAAATACAAGGTACTCTTTGAATTTTATAAAAGCTACATTTTCAGTGTTTGAATTCTTGAGAAAATGTTTGGAGAACAGTTTTGTAAAATCTCCAGCTGTGCAAACTGTGGAGGATTTTGGAACTAGAACAGACATTTAATTAGGGAATAGAAACAGCAGCCAATGGCTCAAGTTTTTACCAGTTAAAAAAAATAAATCATTCTCTTAAAACACTACATTTGCTTTTACAAACACCCTCTTGGTTGTTCCTCCTGAGGTAGGTAGCCCTATTTACTTATAAGGGAACAACAATATTCTTTGAAAATACTGAAGGGCTGTGAGGGTGGGCGAAGAAGCCGCTAAGCCTGCAGTGTGGACGATGGTCGCTTTATTAGTCACTTCTTGGGGCAGGGCTCAGGACACTGATCAGGACAGAGGAATACAAACCTTGAGCTCAGATGAAAAGGCAGTGCTCCATTACTGCCGGACACACCTGTTTGGGCAACAATGGAATCCAGCCTCTGAAAACAATTATTTTCAAATCCTATGCACAAAGAAGTGGTTCTCAACTTCAGCTGAACGTGGTGTTATCTGGAAAGCTCTCAAAAAATACTGACGCCTGGTTCACACCCCCACCCCACCTCCCCAGCTTCTGACTGAACTTATGATCTGAGGTTTGGCTCTTCAAGTAATACTGATATAAATTAAGAACCACTGGCATAGAACTGTAAAGTTCTAAATACATTTTACTTCCTAGTTAATACATAGCTAACGACAAAACATGTAGCTTCCTGGACTTCAGAATACTGAGTCCATATTTTCTGGCAATAAATTAAGGGATACAATAAGGTCAGAGATAAAAGTATGCTGAACCTAAAATGAAGAGTATTTGCCAGTTGGACATGAAAAACATCATACATTGCATTAGCATTAGCCCACAAAGTGTAAATCACAGTTTAAAAAACAGGTAATAAAATTAGGAATAATTAAAACTTGAAGATATCCATGGTTTCCATCAAATACGGTACTCTGGATGTAGAATTATCTTCCTGGCACCCCGAAGTCCCCTATTTGGGTCTGCTCTCAGAAGCATATACATGCACTTTACGGACCATGCTGCTTGAGGCAGACATTTCCTTCTGGTCAATCACTGTCATCATCTAATACACAATCAGTTTTCCTTTTAATTTTATAAGGCACCCTATTTACAATTTCACGGAAAGAAAAAAAAAAGGTAAACCGTCGACTAAAGTGCTTTTTAAGAAATCCGGTGGCTAAATTGTGTTTAATCTGATACCCTTAGGGATCCACTCACCTTGAAGAATTTCCGAGACCCAAAGAAAACAAAAGCAGCTTGTTAAGGTACAATATACCAATGGATTTTTTTATAATGACAAAATTAAAAGAAAAGTCACAAGGGCAGCTAATAAAAACTGAAGATCCATCTTTTTTTTCCCTAGCAAACTCAATTTTAAAACTGCGGTTAATGCACGAGTAATTTATCGAAAATGTTTCGGCATATTCCCCCATTCAACCACAAAATCTCGTTTTCACAGCACATACAACCGGGTAGCAACACAAAATGCTGCAATTGAGCAGCTTCCCAAAACCGCTCGTGTCTTGTTTTGTAACCGCGGCTCAAAGCGTAGAGGTTCGCTGGCAGAGTAAGGGGACGGCCTTTGTCTCGCACACCTGGGAACCCGCAGGTGCACTGCTTCGCCCCAGCGCCGGCTCCCCGTCCTGTCCCGTCCCGTCGGGTGCGTCCCCGTAGCCGGCTCCACGTCCCATCCCATCGGGCGCGTCTCGGTGGCCGGCTCCGCGTCCAGTCCCGTCGGCGCGTCTCGACCTTCTCACACTGGCAGCGCCTTGGCGAGGCTGGCGCCCGGGCCCAGGCGCCCGAGCGCTACGCGCAGCATGGTGCCCGCGCCCCGGGGCAGCAGGGTGAGCAGCGCGGTCAGCAGCGTGACGACCTGCAGGAAGGCGCCCAGCGCCGTGAGCAACGTACTGCGCAGGCCTAGCGCCGCGTACAGCGTGGCGCCCAGCGCAGCCACGTAGAGCAGAGCGGGGCGCGAGGGCGTCTCCTCGCCGCGCAGCAGGCGCCCGCACGCCGCCCCGCCGCGCAGCAGCGTGCCGCCCGCCAGCGCCAGCACGGATCCCAGGGACCAGAGCAGCGCGAACTTGCGGGCGCGCAGCAGCAGCACGGGCGCATGGAGCGCGGCCAGGACGAAGCACAGCGCGGCCAGCAACAGGCACCCGCCGCTCGCCGCCAGCCGCTGTGTGCGCGTCACACTCGGCAGGCACGCCGGGCCCGGCGCCGTTGCCTCCGCGGCGCTCCGTGCCCACGTCCAGCGCAGGCCCGCGCGGCCAAGCCACGCCGCTGCCGGCGCGCTCCCCGCCTCGGGATCCTGCGCCTTTTCTGCGGCGAGCAGCGGCTCCGCGGCCGCCGGCCCGCCCGCTTTCCCCTGCGCCAGGTACTCCTGCAGCTGGCGGTGAAGGTCCGCCATCTTGGGCCGAGGGGCCGCGGTCACTTCCGGTCCCCGGGGCTTTGACGGAAGCGGCTCTTCCGGGCTGAAGGCCGGCCAAGCGGAGGGGCGGGGCAGCGCCGCACATCCCGCTGTGCTGTCCGGCGGCTGCCCCTGCGTTTGCCTTCCCAGCGCCGAGCTGGTCCTCTTCCGAGTGGGCGTTGCCCCGCCCTGGGTAATCGTGTCCCTATCAACAGTTAGTGGGGCGGCGGGGGGTACGTGTAAAACGGCTCCCCAGGGACCCCTGTGTTGGGCTGTCCTGCGTCTCCCCGTGGAGGCCCGCAACCTCGTGGTCATTTCGTGCTCTAGTTTTGCGAACTGTTACCAGTGGCGGCGCGGCAAACTGGGTAAAGCGTACACGGCTTCTCCGTATTATTTATCAAACCTGTGTGCTAACCTGCAGTTGTCTCAAATGTAATTTTTTTTAAGTTCAGATCTGCCTGCCAGGACCTGGGTGGTTTCCGTGGGAAGGCTATATATTTGATAAAGGGAGAGTTAAGCCCCACCTTTGTTGCCTGTGCCAGCGAAGGCTTGGCAATATTCTCGACTCCTTCAAGCCCCAGGGCCAGGACTTGGTGGTGGCGCCCTCGTCATGTATTTTTGGTTCCCCTCTCCAGATCCAGGTGTCCCGACTCGCCGGGCGGTCGCTGATTAGCTACCCTGCGTTCCAGTCCATTCCTGACGTGTTCTGAGGGTCTCCCACGTGCCCTGCTCTTTCCTACAGCCGCTTTGAGGTTCCTTAGCCTGTGATTGCTCACCTGGGTCACACCCCCGCCAGGTCTCGCCAGGGCTGTGCCTGCCTGGCTTCTGCCTGGCTAGTTCGTACTCCCGGACATTAATCGGATAAGGCTCATGCTGCTGCTTGCTGCAGTCCAGCTAGGTGCACTTCCTCCGAGTTCCCACCTTTCTGGCTGTGAAAGTATTTGTTGAAGTTTGTGCCAGCAACTCTAGGACAGGCCCTCTTTCATCTCCATTTTGCTAGAACCCGAGAGGCTGCTGCAGGGCACAGCGCTGTCACTTTCATGCTTCCCGAAGCCCTTGGTTGCAACATGTATTTTGCTATACTTTATAAATGCCTGATGTGAACTTAACTATGGTGACATGGAAGTCCTTTTGTAAAGTCCAATACAGCTAAGCTTTACAGCAGCCCACAGTAGGACAGGTCTTTGGCTTATTTGCCACAGAGGACCATTCCTTCCATGCCCTCCTTTGTACTGGGGATGGAAGCAGGGCTGACCCTGCAGGCTGATTTACCAGTGCTCCCCTGTCACCTGGCTTTGGAGAAACTGGGGGAGAAGCAGGCTATTTTCCCTTTTGCTGCTTTTGGCCACATTACAACTTCCCTTATCACCTTGTTACTGGCTTCCCCTGAGTGAACCCAGCCAATGGACTGGTAACACCCCCTTTACCCTAGAAGGGGCAGGTGTTAATGGCTTTCTGCTGTTGTTGTCTCTAGCTTCTCAGCCTTTCTGTTACCTGTGTAACCAATTTCCCGCATTAAATTCCCTTTTTTTCTTTTGATTTTCCTGGGGCTGACATACACTATTCTTTTTTAAAAATACTTTCCAGTTTGTCAGCCCACTTGTGTTAACCAAAATAGAGAAACTGAGTCAAGCTTGAATTACCAGAAATTGAGTTTATTCAAGAATAGCAGAGGAAATGCAATTTGGGAAATGCAAACTATAGCAAGCTATGGTTCTGTCAGAGGTTTAGGGTGGGCTGTGTTTATGAGCGAGGGGAACATACAGCCAGAGTCCAAGCGGGAAGTTCATTGGCCGGAGGTTGGGGAGAGATTCCTGACGGGTGGTCGTCAGTCAGGAGACAGGTCTCGTCTTCTATAAATAGAGCATTCACAAGAAATTAGTCTCGGTTCTTAAGTTTTGTTTCCCTGAGGGTGATGTGTGAGAGTGACCATTGAATACCCTCTGGTTGTTTTAGAAAACATTCGATGAAAATAGTGATCATCCTGACCACTTACCATGGGCAAAACCAGCAGCATGGCTGCCGCCCAGAAAACAAAATGATAGGCATTGTTCAGGTGTAGAGAAATTGGAACCCTTAGGCACTGTGGGTAGGAATATAAGATGGTACAAAAAGAAAACTGGTGGTTCCCCAAAACATTACAAATAGGGTTACTGTATGATCCAGTAATTCCAGTTCTGGATATATACCTAAGATAATGGAAAGCAGGGTCTTGAGATACTTGAGATACTCACCCTCCTTTGACACCTACACCCCACCTCCACTGTAGCAAAATTCATACAAAGAAGAGGAACAAAGGGTGCACTTGCCTCTCATTCTCCCTTGAATCCACTGCATTCTATGGTGCCCCCTCAAATTGTTCCTGACAAAGTCACCAAAGGCATCTGTCACCAAGCCCAGTAAGATTTCCGTGCCAGCGATCCTTGAACTTGGCAGTACTGACAGCTGCCCTCTGCCTCCTTGGAGCAGCACAGAGCTGCCCAGCCACAGCCAGCTGCGGGGGACCGGGGCAGGGCTCCTTGTTTGCTCGGCCTCCGCCAGATGCCTAAGCATCGGCCTCCATCTCTTTCCTCACCCTCAGCTGGCTCCGTGTTGCTAGGACCACCTGTATGCAGACCCTCCAGCTGATCCCTCACGTCACTGGGCATCTAATGGGCACCCTGAAAATGACATTAAAATGAACTTTGATTTCTGACTTCTCACTGTCCAAAACCTGGAACTACTCCCCTCTTCCTTCCTCATCCCAGTAACTCCCACACCCTCAGCAAGTCCTGCCAGCCCGACCCCAGGAATGCACCTGGTTCCAGTCGGTCTCTGTCTCCAGTGCTAACCCTTCAGACGAGCACCCACCGGACTCTGTCTTGGTGCCTGTTTTGGTTCATGTCTTCCAGCTGCTCCCACGATAGCCAGGGGACCTCATACACCTAAGTCGGGTGATGGCACTTCCTCTAGTGGTTCCCATCTCACAGAAGAAGCCAGTGCCCCTGCACGGCCTGCCCCTGGCACCCCTGCCTCCTCTCCCTTCCTCCCTCTGCGCCGGCAGGCCTCTGAGTTGTTTCTGGATATGTCAGAATTATTACCACCTCAGTGCCTTTTTCCTTGTTCTCGGCCTAGAAGTTTTCCCCCTGCACCCCGTCCCGAGTGTCTGTAGAGCTCTCCCTTGCTCAGGGCCCTGTTTGGGTGGCCCTCTTCAGAGTCCTTGGGCCACCCTAAGTGAGCGTCTCCTTTACAGGTACAATGAAGTGCAGTCCCTTACTTTGTTGGTAGTATGATAACATTTATCTGAAGGTGATCCAGTGCACAAATCCTGCCCCAACTCTGAGAATTCATTTGCCCTGGAGAGCATTATGGATCGGGGTACGAAGCAGCAGGAGACTGGGACAAATCCAGAGGTCTCCGACGTTGTTACTTGTTTTTAAACGACTCCCTCCTGAAGCCCGTGCTGCCTCCTCCCCATGGGGATGGAGTGCCTTGCTCTACAGGTGGGCTTCGGGTGTCACCGTCAGCTGCCAGGCAGGGGCTAGCCTTACGCCCCTGCGGGTGTCAGGTCCCCAAGTCCTGGGAGGAGACCCATTGTCCAGCGTGGGTGAGAAAGTGGGTGCTGGGGGACCCAGCAGTGGGGACGTCCGCGCCGCCTTCCCACTGTGGTCGGGTCCTAGTGCAGCGCCTGCCAAGGGAAAGCAGGTGGAGCCCTTCGTTTCATTGAGGACTTTCTGCGTGACCTAAGGAAGCAGTGCCCAGCCTCCCCACCGAGATTTACTTTCTCCCCAGTGCCAGTCAGTCCTGGGCGTACCCAGGCTTCTTTGGAGGGGTTCTTCAGGTGGCCTTTCCCTGGCTTCACTCTCTGGCGTGGCAGGAGGACCTGGCCTGGGCCATGAACCTCCCTCAGTGGGGTGAGTGTGCTGACACCCACCTTACCTTCATAAAACCAAAACCTCATTTCTTCTCTTGCCTAACCTGCAGTGGCTCCCCACTTCCTGCAGGTCTGGTGTCCTAGCCCAGTCCTGCTTGTCCTCGGTGGCTCTCTGCTGCCCTGTGGGGCTCCCTCTGGCACCAGCCCGGGAAGGGGCCCCTGTAGCTGGGAGGCTTCTGTGTCCTTGATGAGGCCGGGCCCTCCCCCAGCAAACCCTCCACCCTCTCCATCCTCTGGAGGCCTCCTTGCCAGGGCAGCCCCTCCTGTCCCGGAGCCCTGTGTTGGCCCAGTGGCCCCTTGTGCACTGATTGGTGACCTCTCCAAGACCTGAGGAGTGAACAGTACCTAACCACTTACCTGCTTATGACCTCAAGTCTTACTTCTGGCCCCAAACACTCCATCTTAATCATTTGATACTTTTTCCACCTGGCTTATTTCACTGAGCATCATACCCTCTAGCTCCATTCATGTTGTTGCAAATGGTAGGATTTGTTTTCTTCTTATGGCTGAGTAATATTCCATTGTGTATATGAACCACATCTTTATCCATTCATCTACTGATGGACACTTAGGTTGCTTCCATTTCTTGACTATTGTAAATAGTGCTGCGATAAACATAGGGGTGCATATGTCTTTTTCAAACTGGGCTGCTGCATTCTTAGGGTAAATTCCTAGGAGTAGAATTCCTGACTCATGGTATTTCTATTTTGAGTTTTTTGAGGAACCTCTATACTGCCAAACACTCCATCTTAAATGCTAGAGTTTCTAGTCAACCTTGAGTTGGTTAGGCACACGGCTTTGTGGCGTGGAAGACCGTCTGCATGGAGGGCTTAGTACCAACCCTGGGCAGCAGTATAGCCACCCATCACTGTCCAGGGCTGAGGGCCTGGTCCTCCTGACCTTCCCTGTCCAGGTGCTGACCAGGTGAGCCGTCCTCTCCATCCTGGTGGCCAGCAAGTGGGGGCAACAGAGACTAGAGACTCCTGTGCCCCACGGCACTCCACCGGAAGGGTGGGAAGGCTCCAGACCCACGCTGGTGGGCTCCCCAGCCACCAGCCACAAGGAGCACCTGAGGTGACTGGCGAGACTGAGGGGCTGGATTCATTATTTA